TACCGTGATGTCTGTATTGTTTGGTGTTTGTCTATTCGTCGTTATTCTGTACATGTATTGCTGTGAAGTCTGTATTGTTTATTGTTTGTCTATTCGTCGTTATTGAGTACATGTATTGCCATGATGTCTGTATCGTTAATTGTCTGTCTATTCGTCGTTATTCTGTACGTGTATTGCCATGATGTCTGTATCGTTTATTGTTTGTCTATTCGTCGTTATTCTGTACATGTATTGCCATGATGTCTGTATTGTTTGTTGTTTGTCTATTCGACGTTATTCTGTACATGTATTGTCGTGAAGTCTGTATTGTTTATTGTTTGTCTATTCGTCGTTATTCTGTACATGTATTGCCATGATGTCTGTATCATTTATTGTCTGTCTATTCGTCGTCATTCTGTACATGTATTGCCATGATGTCTGTATCGTTTATTGTTTGTCTATTCGTCGTTATTCTGTACATGTATTGCCATGATGTCTGTATTGTTTGGTGTTTGTCTATTCGTCGTTATTCTGTACATGTATTGCCATGATGTCTGTATTGTTTATTGTTTGTCTATTCGTCGTTATTCTGTACATGTATTGACATGATGTCTGTATTGTTTGGTGTTTGTCTATTCGTCGTTATTCTGTACATGTATTGCCGTGATGCCTGTATCGTTTATTGTTTGTCTATTCGTCGTTATTCTGTACATGTATTGGCATGATGTTTGTATTGTTTGGTGTTTGTCTATTCGTCGTTATTCTGTACATGTATTGCCGTGATGTCTGTATTGTTTATTGTCTGTCTATTCGTCGTTATTCTGTACATGTATTGCCGTGATGTCTGTATTGTTTGGTGTTTATCTATTCGTCGTTATGTTGTACATGTATTGCCGTGATGTCTGTATTGTTTGGTGTTTATCTATTCGTCGTTATTCTGTACATGTATTGCCGTGATGTCTGTATTGTTTGGTGTTTATCTATTCGTCGTTATTCTGTACATGTATTGCCGTGATGTCTGTATTGTTTATTGTTTGTCTATTCGTCGTTATTCTGTACATGTATTACCGTGATGTCTGTATTGTTTGGTGTTTGTCTATTCGTCGTTATTCTGTACATGTGTTGCCATGATGTCTGTATTAATTGGTGTTTGTCTATTCGTCGTTATTCTGTACATGTATTACCGTGATGTCTGTATTGTTTGGTGTTTGTCTATTCGTCGTTATTCTGTACATGTATTGCTGTGAAGTCTGTATTGTTTATTGTTTGTCTATTCGTCGTTATTGAGTACATGTATTGCCATGATGTCTGTATCGTTAATTGTCTGTCTATTCGTCGTTATTCTGTACGTGTATTGCCATGATGTCTGTATCGTTTATTGTTTGTCTATTCGTCGTTATTCTGTACATGTATTGCCATGATGTCTGTATTGTTTGTTGTTTGTCTATTCGACGTTATTCTGTACATGTATTGTCGTGAAGTCTGTATTGTTTATTGTTTGTCTATTCGTCGTTATTCTGTACATGTATTGCCATGATGTCTGTATCATTTATTGTCTGTCTATTCGTCGTCATTCTGTACATGTATTGCCATGATGTCTGTATCGTTTATTGTTTGTCTATTCGTCGTTATTCTGTACATGTATTGCCATGATGTCTGTATTGTTTGGTGTTTGTCTATTCGTCGTTATTCTGTACATGTGTTGCCATGATGTCTGTATCGTTTATTGTCTGTCTATTCGTCGTCATTCTGTACATGTATTGCCATGATGTCTGTATCGTTTATTGTTTGTCTATTCGTCGTTATTCTGTACATGTATTGCCGTGATGTCTGTATTGTTTGGTGTTTGTCTATTCGTCGTTATTCTGTACATGTATTACTGTGATGTCTGTATTGTTTGGTGTTTGTCTATTCGTCGTTATTCTGTACATGTATTGCCATGATGTCTGTATTGTTTGGTGTTTGTCTATTCGTCGTTATTCTGTACATGTATTGCCGTGATGTCTGTATTGTTTATTGTTTATCTATTCGTCGTTATTCTGTACATGTATTGCGTGATGTCTGTATTGTTTGTCTATTCGTCGTTATTCTGTACATGTGTTGGCATGATGTCTGTATTGTTTGGTGTTTGTCTATTCGTCGTTATTCTGTACATGTATTGCCGTGATGTCTGTATTGTTTATTGTCTGTCTATTCGTCGTTATTCAGTACATGTATTGGCATGATGTCTGTATTGTTTGGTGTTTGTCTATTCGTCGTTATTCTGTACATGTATTGCTATGATGTCTGTTTTGTTTATTGTTTATCTATTCGTCGTTATTTTGTACATGTATTGATGTGATGTCTGTATTGTTTGGTGTTTGTCTATTCGTCGTTTTTCTTTACATGTATTGCGTGATGTTTGTATTGTTTGTTGTTTGTCTATTCGTCGTAATTCTGTAATAACTCTGTTATTCTGAGAGAAATTCATTAACCTCATCTTGCATATTACATTTTATAGGGGAATCCTTACCAAAAGATTTAAAATGGCTACTTAAAACAGCACTTATGTCTTTCTCTTCCGTAAATAGTTCTGACTTATTTTGGGGTTCATAATCAGTTGAGGGGCAATACTGTTATTTGTCTTTTAAAATATCCCAGTATCCTCTAACCTTGTTCGAAGAATTAACACATTTATCATGAAATTGTTTCAATTTCAGAGTGTTTGCTTTTCTTTTTATAGCTTCTTGGACCTTAGCTTTTCGCACATGATAAATGTCAGATAAAATCTTACCAGTCTCGCTATTACAGTTGTGGGTTTTGTCATGAATTCTTTTCAAGCGATTTCTTTCTCTTCTGTTTTTAATCAAAATGTCAAGTTCGTTGTCCCAAAACTTACGATACCGATTTGATTTATTAACTTTTCCGATAGAAAGCATCAAGGATGGACTTTTCCCAATGACCTCAAAGTGTACTGCTATATTTTCATAGTGTGCTCAGATGCCGTAAATTCGACTTTTAATGTTGTTTAAAAAATATTCCACTTCGTTTTATCGTTTATTTTCCAAATAAAGGCCGATTTTTTCGGTTCTTTTTTTTATTTTCCGTGTTAATATTTAATTCGGTTCGTATAATGACATGATCACTATATAGATCAAAAATGCCATTTTTATCTATTATAACACGTGATACGTTGTCTATTATAATAACACGTTATACGTTATCTATTATAACACGTGTTACGTTATCTATTATAACACGTGATACGTTGTCTATTATTATAACACGTGATACGTTATCTATTATAACACGTGTTACGTTATCTATTATAACACGTGATACGTTATCTATCATTAAAACACGTGATACGTTATCTATTATAAAACGTGATGCGTTATCTATTATAACACGTGATACGTTATCTATTATAACACGTGATACGTTGTCTTTTATTATAACACGTGATACGTTATCTATTATAACATGTGTTACGTTATCTATTATAACACGTGATACGTTATCTATTATAACACGTGATACGTTATCTATTATAACACTTGTTACGTTATCTATTATAACACTTGTTACGTTGCGACAGAGGGCTTCAGAAAGAAGAACGTAGTCGATTGCAGACCTTTGATTATTTAAAATACGAGTATAAAGTCTCTCACAAATGGGGAGGAAATTTACAGCAAGTAAGTCACTCGTATCTATAAACTGACGACGCCTTTTTCCATTATGACATTATTGGATGCCAATTCACACATGATATTAAAGTTTGTAGTTTGACACTTTTCAATACATTTTCCGTTAAAGTCACCCATAAGGAAGCCTTTTCCAATTATAGGATGCTAATTCACACATGATATTAAAGTTTGTAGTGTGACACTTTTCGATACATTTTCCGTTAAAGTCACCCATAAGTAAAATTTCATAACCAGAATGAATTAACTTTTAGCAATTTTCAAGAAGTTTATACATGAAAATATCGGTTGTTTGCCGATCGATTCCATCATTTGATGTTTGCAATTCCAATAGCTGTTTTGGTATTGCCTATTCTAGATAGAACCAACAAATGTTCATGTTTATCTTTTATATATACTGACCGACTTTAGAAACGCAACACTAGATTATTCTTTTTAAATTTTTGAATGAATGTGGCACCGTCAAAAGCAATGACTCCCTGTAACAAACGCCAAAATGATTGTCAGAAAGATCAACCAATTCTGTTCCACATGTTTTGGATTCTGTTTTACACCTTCTGAATATGCGTTTGTTTCACCCATTACAATGGGTTTTGGCAATTATGCGGTAGAAACTTCAGGGCTTTAAATGTTTTTCTTCAGTCGATTCTTTGGCAGTTCAGTTTATGGGAAACGTTTATGGCATGAATCTGTGCGCAATGGCATTCGGCAATTTGATAAGCAGTTGACGTTGCGGCCATAAACATGTCTTGCAAATGACGTTGCGTAATCAAATTCTATTGACGTAACATTGTCACTACATGTTGATCTGGTCATTGATGGTCAGTAACAAATCCCGTCTACCTGTATCGTTGTCGGAAGGACAGCAAGACGAGTTTCTAAAGTCAAACTGTATGGTTGCAGCACGTTCACGTTTTACTGTTTGCAGTATTCTTATGGGCTGATTCAGTTTTTTATTCCTCAGTCTTGGCAATATGGAGATGCAACATTTGTTAACTGATTTAAGTGTGGCAAAGGGTTGAAAGAACTGTTTCACGAAGCAAAACAAACTGAAAAAATCTTTTATGGGTTCCAAATTTCGCTTTAAGAAATTCCTGCGACTTCAAAAATCCGGTATGTTCAATAACAACAGGTAAGTCAGATGTTGATTTTTTCTTAAGAGAAAGAAGTATGGTAAGCATTAATAGTAGTTGTATGAGGATCAAACATGATGTGGGAAAAATAATCAACAAAATGAGTGTTGCGTTTTTAAAGTCAGTATATATATATACATAACATCCGTTGACACCTTATATATATTTTGTATAAGGTTTTCCACTTATTTTTAGGTACATGTAAACATTTTTATTGTCGTGAATGATGTACACAAATAAGTGACGTTACATAATGTTTGAGGAGATAGTAATTGACAACTGAAGAATGTGTACAGGATACATCATGAAGACGATTTTTATTGTGTGTGTAATTATATTATTTCCGTCCCCGTGTCGCTCCAAATCTAAAGAGGAATGGAAATCAAGGATAATTTACCAGGTAGGTGGTTTATTAAAGAATCACTCAAAGTCTAAGGATGGATGGAAGTCAAGGATAATTTACCAGGTAGGTGGTTTATTAAGGAATCACTCAAAGTCTAAGGATGGATGGAAGTCAAGGATAATTTACCAGTTAGGTGGTTTATTGAAGATTCACTCAATGTCTAAGGATGGATGGAAGTCAAGGGAAATTTACCAGATAGGTGTTTTATTAAAGATTCACTCAAAGTCTAAGGATGGATGGAAGTCAATGATAATTTACCAGGTATGTGGCCATGGGTTGTAAAGGATTTGTTCAAAGTCTAAGGATGGATCGAAATCAAGGATCATGTTCCAGATAGGTAAGTGATGATGGCATCTAGACACATATAACTACTTGTAGTTTAACACATCCACATTATAATGTGTGTCTGTACCAAGTAGGCAAGTGATAATGGCATCGGAGCAGGTATAACTAGTTTAACACCACCACATTATAATGTGTGTCTGTACCAAGTAGGCAAGTGATAATGGCATCGGAGCACGTATAACTAGTTTAACACCACCACATTATAATGTGTGTCTGTACCAAGTAGGCAAGTGATAATGGCATCGGAGCACGTATAACTAGTTTTGCACCACCACATTATAATGTGTGTCTGTACCAAGTAGGCAAGTGATAATGGCATCGGAGCAGGTATAACTAGTTTAACACCACCACATTATAATGTGTGTCTGTACCAAGTAGGCAAGTGATAATGGCATCGGAGCACGTATAACTAGTTTTGCACATCCACATTATAATGTGTGTCTGTACCAAGTAGGCAAGTGATAATGGCATCGGAGCAGGTATAACTAGTTTAACACCACCACATTATAATGTGTGTCTGTACCAAGTAGGCAAGTGATAATGGCATCGGAGCACGTATAACTAGTTTTGCACCACCACATTATAATTTGTGTCTGTACTAAGTGGGCAAGTGATAATGGCATCGGAGCACGTATACCTAGTTTAACACCATCACATTATAATTTGTGTCTGTACTAAGTAGGCAAGTGATAATGGCATCGGAGCACGTATAACTAGTTTTGCACCACCACATTATAATGTGTGTCTGTACCAAGTAGGCAAGTGATAATGGCATCGGAGCACGTATAACTAGTTTTGCACCACCACATTATAATGTGTGTCTGTACCAAGTAGGCAAGTGATAATGGCATCGGAGCACGTATAACTAGTTTAACACCATCACATTATAATGTGTGTCTGTACCAAGTAGGCAAGTGATAATGGCATCGGAGCACGTATAACTAGTTTTGCACATCCACATTATAATGTGTGTCTGTACCAAGTAGGCAAGTGATAATGGCATCGGAGCAGGTATAACTAGTTTAACACCACCACATTATAATGTGTGTCTGTACCAAGTAGGCAAGTGATAATGGCATCGGAGCACGTATAACTAGTTTTGCACCACCACATTATAATTTGTGTCTGTACTAAGTGGGCAAGTGATAATGGCATCGGAGCACGTATAACTAGTTTAACATCACCACATTATAATTTGTGTCTGTACTAAGTAGGCAAGTGATAATGGCATCGGAGCACGTATAACTAGTTTTGCACATCCACATTATAATGTGTGTCTGTACCAAGTAGGCAAGTGATAATGGCATCGGAGCACGTATAACTAGTTTAACACCACCACATTATAATGTGTGTCTGTACCAAGTAGGCAAGTGATAATGGCATCGGAGCACGTATAACTAGTTTAACACCACCACATTATAATGTGTGTCTGTACCAAGTAGGCAAGTGATAATGGCATCGGAACACGTATAACTAGTTTAACACCACCACATTATATTGTGTGTCTGTACCAAGTAGGCAAGTGATAATGGCATCGGAGCACGTATAACTAGTTTAACACCACCACATTATAATGTGTGTCTGTACCAAGTAGGCAAGTGATAATGGCATCGGAGCACGTATACCTAGTTTTGCACCACCACATTATAATGTGTGTCTGTACCAAGTAGGCAAGTGATAATGGCATCGGAGCACGTATACCTAGTTTTGCACCACCACATTATAATGTGTGTCTGTACCAAGTAGGCAAGTGATAATGGCATCGGAGCACGTATAACTAGTTTTGCACCACCACATTATAATGTGTGTCTGTACCAAGTAGGCAAGTGATAATGGCATCGGAGCACGTATACCTAGTTTTGCACCACCACATTATAATGTGTGTCTGTACCAAGTAGGCAAGTGATAATGGCATCGGAGCACGTATAACTAGTTTTGCACCACCACATTATAATGTGTGTCTGTACCAAGTAGGCAAGTGATAATGGCATCGGAGCACGTATAACTAGTTTAACACCACCACATTATAATGTGTGTCTGTACCAAGTAGGCAAGTGATAATGGCATCGGAGCACGTATAACTAGTTTAACACCACCACATTATAATGTGTGTCTGTACCAAGTAGGCAAGTGATAATGGCATCGGAGCACGTATAACTAGTTTTGCACCACCACATTATAATATGTGTCTGTACCAAGTAGGCAAGTGATAATGGCATCGGAGCACGTATAACTAGTTTTGCACATCCACATTATAATGTGTGTCTGTACCAAGTAGGCAAGTGATAATGGCATCGGAGCAGGTATAACTAGTTTAACATCACCACATTATAATTTGTGTCTGTACTAAGTAGGCAAGTGATAATGGCATCGGAGCACGTATACCTAGTTTTGCACCACCACATTATAATGTGTGTCGGTACCAAGTAGGCAAGTGATAATGGCATCGGAGCACGTATAACTAGTTTAACACCACCACATTATAATGTGTGTCTGTACCAAGTAGGCAAGTGATAATAGCATCGGAGCACGTATACCTAGTTTTGCACCACCACATTATAATGTGTGTCTGTACCAAGTAGGCAAGTGATAATGGCATCGGAGCACGTATAACTAGTTTTGCACCACCACATTATAATGTGTACCTGTTCCAAGTTGTGCTATCTTGTCCATGTGTTGTTCGTTAGTGTCTGTCTATGGTTTTACGTCTTTATAATTTTTGTTTTAATTTTCACTAATAACTTATCATATGTCTTATCAGATATTAACTGATAGGTTTGCAGCGGAAGATGAACCACATTCGTGTACCGATCTTCGAAGTTATTGTGGAGGGACATTCCGAGGGATAGTGGAAAAAATTAAACTACATATCCGGACTTGGTAAATATAATTATTTGTCGGTTTTATATACTAGTAGTCCCTAAAAATACAATTATCTAGTTTTCAAATTAACTTTGATGTTATATATTTGACTATCTTGTCAATAATTGTTGATAATTGTTTTGAGATCTGTAGTGACATATGGACACAGCACGAACCCACACCCAAAGCACAACCCGGCAAGCGGCTGCTTTTGGCTGTGCGGGATTCATAAATACGCAATCACAACCACTGGTTACTGAGACGTTACATCCGGCTCGCGCTCTCTGCACTTTAAAGAATCTAACAAAAGCTCTTTAATCAAGGAGTCAATCCATTCAGAAACAGAACTAGCGTACAACCAGATACACACCCAACCTACATCAAGAAAACCAACCAACCAACATCAAGAAACACAACCCACCTACATCCAGAAACACAACCAACGAACACCCAGAAACACATCCAGCTTACATCAAGATACCCAATCAACGTACACCAAGAAACAAAACCTACCTACACTCAGAAACACAAACAACCTACACCCATAAACACAACCAACCTACATGCAGAAACAACCAAACTACATCCAGAAATACAACCAACATACACTCAGAAACACAACCAACCTAAACCAGAACACATCAAACATACACTCAGAAACATAACCAACCTACACACAGAAACACAACCAACCTATACTCTAAACACATCCAACCTCCACCTAGATTCCTGACCAACCTACACCCAGAAAAACAACCAGCCTCCACCTAGAAACACAACCAACCTACAACCACAAACACAACCTTCACCCAGCATACACCCAGAAACACAACCAACCTACACCCAGAAACACATCCAACCTACACCCAGAAACACAATCAGCCTACACCCAGAAACACAATCAACCTACACCCAGAAACACAACCAACCTACAACCACAAACACAACCAACCTACACCCAGAAACACAACCAACCTACACTAAGAAACACAACCAGAATACACCCAGAAACACAACCAACCTACACCCAGAAACACAACCAGCATACACCAAGAAATACAACTAACCTACACCCAGAAACACAACCAACCTACACCCAGAACACAACTAACCTACACCCAGAAACACAACCAACCTACAACCACAAACACAAGCAACCTACACCATAAACACAACCAACGTACACCCAGAAACACAACCAGCATACACCCAGAAACACAACCAACCTACACCCAGAAACACAACCAACCTACACTAAGAAACACAACCAGACTACACCCAGAAACACAACCAACCTACACCCAGAAACACAACCAGCATACACCAAGAAATACAACTAACCTACACCCAGAAACACAACCAGCATACACCTAGAAACACATACAACCTACACCCAGAAACAAAACCAGCATACACCCAGAAACACAACCAACCTACACCAAGAAAAACAACCAACCAACTCCCAGAACACAAGCTCTTATATTTCACAGAAAAGTAAAAGAGTGAGAAGATAACCATAAGTTAAAAAAAGAGACAACTTCACGTAAACAGAAAATATATGAACACACAGCTGTTTTAAAAATTTCACACAAAAAATAAAGATTCCAACCATAAACCTACGGCGACATTGGGTGCGTCGGAAGGGTAAGCAATTAATGTTCAATAAGTTACACCAAAAGCTTTACTTTTTTAATATTTGTTTTGATCTATTCCTATGATAATATCTACCGTATTGAGCTTTTTCTGTTCAGACGAGTTGATATCTATGATTTACGGTTTTACATTGTCTTATCGATTTCTCTAGGTTGAGATGAGTTGATATCTTTAATTTCCGGTTTTTAATTGCCATATCGAACTATCTCTGTTGAAATGACCTGATATCCTTGATTTTTGGTATAGACCTCTCTCTGTTGACTTGATTTCTGGCTTTACATTACCAAATCGAACTCTCTCTGTCGAGAGGACTTGATGTCCATGATTTCCGACTTAACATTGCCATATCGAACTATCTCTGTCGAGAGGACTTGATGTCCATGATTTCCGACTTAACATTGCCATATCGAACTATCTCTGTTCAGATGACTTGCTATCCTTAATTTCCGGCTTCACAATACTGCATCGAACTATCTCTGTTTATGGATCAAAAACCTTTTTTTTAACTACTAGTAATTGATTGAATGTTGTACATGTATTACTTGCACAGGTGCCAACGCAATATGGATATCTCCTATTGTTGTCAATACACCGAAGGGTTACCATGGTTACTGGGCTAAGGATATATACAATTTCAACGAACATTTTGGAACAGAGGAAGATTTTAAATATCTGTTGTCTGAATGCCATAAAAGAGATATATGGGTTATGGTTGATGTGTAAGTTTATGTTATCTGAATAAATATTGTTTAGACTAAGTTTATGTTCTATTTTGTCGTACTTTCATTCCATATGCATCATGTTAATTTTTTTCACCATTTTAGTCAGTATATTAAGGAACTGGTCATTTGTAACCTGAAGGGGGTTGGAGGAAAATAATGGGGGGTGGGGGATGAACATTTTTGGGAATGGAAATGGGGGGTGTCCAATTTTTCAATACTTCAGATGGGTGGGCATCGAATAGTTTTGGCGACCCACACCCAACTCTTCCCCATGCAACAAAAAAAAAAATATTTTTTTGGCATGATAGACATCAATTTTTGTTTCGCCTCGCTCCGTTCGGCTCATTGGTTGAGATTCAAATCCTATTTTCTACATCTTCATCCAGGAATGTATTTTTATCTGAAGTTAATTAACCAACTTTTTTAATGAAGGATACATGATCATATATATGAACAATGTGCTGAAATTGAATGAAGGGGTGGTAAATGTCAATGAGACCATAACAGGCATATTACTTTGGTCCCTTCTGACGGTGCGATAATATATTTCACAACTTGCTCGCTATGCCTGTGTCTGTAGTTGGTTTTAGATTTCAATGATCATAAGTTATGTATAGCTGGTAAATTAAAAAGCAGGTACCACATGCAAATTAAAACCTTTCCCAAATTCTTTCATAGATATAAAGATTTGGTTAGAAATTTGGCTGTACATGTGTACAAGTAGAATTCTTATTACAAAATTGATATCCCATCTTAATTTTTACGGTGATGTTGTTCATAAATCTCGTAAATTTTACACATTCCATGTTAACTAATTGATCTTTTGCATACACTTATTCGTAAAGGTTATCATTAATACACTGTAGTTAAGTCTTTAAATATTGTTTAATAGGTTTACTAACATTGTTTTTTGTTTTTGCAAATTGATTAAGTCTTTTTATAGCCGACGGTACAGTATGAGTTGTTTTTTTTCCTTGTAGAATGCCGTACTGTGGCCTATAATTGCATACTACCACTTTATTTTAACTATGTTGAAGACCGTACGGTGGCCTTTAATTGCTTACTACCACTTCATTTTAACTTTGTTGAAGGTCGTACGGTGGCCTTTAATATTGCTTACTATGATCACTTTATTTTAACTTTGTTGAAAGCCGTATGGTGGCCTTTAATTGCTTACTACCACTTCATTTTAACTTTGTTGAAAGCCGTATGGTGGCCTTTAATTGCTTACTACCACTTTATTTTAACTTTGTTGAAGGTCGTACGGTGGCTTTTAATTGCTTACTACCACTTCATTTTAACTTTGTTGAAGGTCGTACGGTGGCCTTTAATTGCTTACTACCACTTCATTTTTAATTTAACATTTTTTTTTTTATTAATACTCTGTTTTATTCAACATTCAATTACATCTTGAATAAGTATTAACATCTGTATCTGCCTGCCTGTTGAAATATACATGCATGTTTTCACGGTACAGCATATATATATATATATGTTAGACTCAGATCGACGTCCGGTCTCTAATCGACGTCAGTGTGACGTTACGTTTTCAAATCAGTGTCCAAATTTTTACCCTCTAATCGACGTCCAATGTGACGTTATGTATTACCAAAACGACGTCCGCGATCGGAGTCTCCTCCCATCGATGCCCAATATCATTCAATCGCTTATTTAGTTTGATCTTTGTTTATATTATATGTATAGTTTTGTCTTGGTGTACAGCTGCTTACAGAAACTAATTGTTTTCTTTTAAGGCGAAGTGTACGTAATTAACTACTCCACAGAATTTTTTTTAAATTTTACATGTGGATTCTGCTTGTAAAAATACATCAGACAATAAAATAAAATAAGGGGGTAACCGTTTTCGTTTTTCAGATACAAGCTGTTGAAATTAACAGCATGATAAGCCAAAAATACAAAGGATATATAGGGAAAATTATAAAAATCGGCAGATATTTTTACTTTATCAAGATTTTCTAATTCGTTGCTCCACAGAATTTTTTTAAAAATCGATATGCGATTCAAAAATGAACGACGAACCCATTGGTGCAAAGAAAGTCCCTAGCAACCGTGCTAGTTTTCAAGCTATATCCTGTGGAAGTTTGATTTCTAGCGGAAAGAATAAAAACAATCGGCGACGTTATTGATGTCTACTGTAACGTCATCACAATTTCTACTCTATAAAGCTATTATACCGTACAGTGTCGTAACAAAATCGTGAGTGTGTATAACCAATTTCCTAATTATTGCAAATACTCAAGCGTAATCAATTAATAAGGAAATAAAATGACTATTTTTTAAGGATATTTCTGCTGCCAAAAAAAAAGCAAATTGGCAAATAAATATACTGCAAGTGAAAGAAAGTTACTATATAGACTTAAACTCCATCTTTTTTTAATTAGACAGGGTTCCACTTCTTTTTGGAAATGCTTGTATTTATAGCTGACTATGGGCGTTGATCATTGTTGAAGGCCGTACGGTTACCTATAGTTGTTAATTTCTGTGTCATTTGGACTCTTGTGGAGAGTTGTCTTATTGGCAATCATGCCACATGTTCTTTTTTTATATTGTAATGTTCTAATAATTATGAATCAAATATCAAGTTTAAAATTGTCCCAGTAAACACAGCGTTGACAGAATGATTCTATACGTATTTAAATAATCGGTTATAATATTGGGATCGCGTATACACGTCTTTTTTAAAATCTTATTTCTGCATGTTTGTATTTTAAAAAAGTGAATATAATTTGCTGCATCTTTTCATCCTCACCATTTCCGGCGCTATTCGAGGGATTGCGCACAAAGCCCATTTTTTGTCAGGTTCACACGCGTGCACGTGACACAACTCTGCAATTTTATTTAAAAAATTTCCTGCCTCGATCGCTTTCCCTTTTCTTTAACTACACGACAAAGCATGATTTAATGTTTGCTGGAGATTTTAAGTAAAAAAGGAAATAATTTTTTGTTCCATAATTTGTTTAATATCCACATGCACGACTCCCAAAAAATAAGAAAACTGCATCTGCATATTATCTTGAGAATTTTTATGACTGTAATAAGGTCAAAAGAAGAACCCGCATATGAATTTTAGCTAAGTAAAACAGATCGGAGTTTTAACCTCACGTAGCACAGATCCTTCCCAGTGTTAGCCTTAGCATTGCGTATATTGTGTATAATGCTATAGCATTGTGTATTGTGTAATGCTAAAGCTTTGTGCATAGTGATATGCTATAAATTAATGTACTGGTGTAATGCTATAAGAATGTACCAAGAGCGATGCTATACGAGTTTACCTAGTATAGTGCCATACAAATTGTTCCTGTATATAATGCAAATGAATTGCAGTTTTGTTAATATAATATAAACATAAGGAGCTGTGGTATGATTGCAAATGAGACAACTATCTGCCACGTTTAAGGTAGATCGGGTGTCTTTTTCTGATCGTCCGTTCTGTTCATGTTAATTGCAAAAACTTTTTTGTGTTTTAAAAATATTTTACCAAGTATCATTTAATATACAACAAAATACCTAAAACTTGAAGTTTAAAGTTGAACTATCAAGAAATTAAGTGTCGCGTAAAGTATATTTAAAATTTTTGGGGATTTTTTCAAGAAAATAAGGCCCGTGACCCCTTATTTTTATTTGATATTTCGGAGTTATTAATGAAAAGCAATTCTCTCATCGAATTTTAGCCAATTCTATCGTTTAATGTTTCCGCAATAAGGAAAACTTTAGGTTCCCCTATATCAACAATATAAAATAACCCAAATTTCGTTAATTTCAATGTGTTATTACGAAAAAACAAGGTCCGTGATCCCCAGTTTTTATTTTGAAATTTAAAATTACATTGACACAGAAGTCTTACAGAAGTTTAAGAAAAATCTATCGTCCAACATTTAGACACCCCAGCTACCTTAAAGGATGTGGATGTAAGCAATTGTTATATATATAGGCAATCATGCGGCCTTCAACAATGAGAAAGTCCATACCGTATAAAGTCGCCGGGTTATAAAAAGCCCCGACATTGTAGAACTATTATTCTTCACCCCTACCCCTTCTTCCCCTACCTTATACTACTGCTGAATGATACACAAAAGCACAACAAAAGAGAACAAATTTCGCTATCCCTTCGAAATCGGAATTTAATTAAGAAAAAATAACAAGTTCTATTTTTATCATACATGTGTAGTTTCAGTTTTAACCATGGTTCTAAATTTAGATTTTACTTTCCCCAAAAATTGCGGACGGAATAGAAGACACCTGTTTATTTTCTGCACCTTGAAAACTGAGATTTGGATGACATAGATTTTACATATTCTGAGATAAATGTAATAGTGAACAATTCTTAGTTTCTGAGTGTGTAATGTTTTGTGGACGGAATCTGATGGGTTTTTTTTGCTGTTGGCTTTTTCTTCGGTTTATAAATGTTGTACTAGTGGTCGATTACCCCTTAGTATCTTTTATACTTTTTACATAAATAATAAAATATAAAACATCATAAAATTTTCAATTGCATAAAAACGGACATGCCAACGTCTTTCTTGTTCAAGACACAAATTCACATGCAATATAATTATTCGTTACTTACAATTTTACGCTACAGGATCTACAGTACACTGTGCATTTCATTCAAAACTATGGTTTTTCAAAAAATATTGTGGGGTCAATTCTGGTTTGATTTTAATGAATTTGATACGAATAGAAGCAGAATTGTCACTGGTTTATTTTTTATTTGGTTATAATTTTGTTGTTTAGGCGTTTTTACCTTCTGTTGAAATAAACACGAGTCGTATTGTGTACCTGCTCCTGCGTGTCTAAAACAAAAACAGTGGTAATAGAGTCAGACTAACTCACAATAGGATACTCAGATTTCTGATTGGAGTCATTCTAATTATTTCTTTGAAGTTTTGAGATAGCACATGAATACTTGTTTGAATTCATGATAGACCGCACGAAGTCATTTCTCTTTCATGTGCCCATTTTTCCTTTCTTGGAGTAGGGGAGATAACCCGCGTAACTAACGACGCACGTTTTTTATCCTGAATTCCGCTAGAGGCGTGCAATTACGTACACTTCGCCTTAAGTTATATCTTTATCAAAACAAAAGGACAAACATCAGAAAATGATAATAAGACAACCATCGACATCATATTACATGTACTTGCACATTTTGAATATTTGGTGAAAGGAGTCCTATCGATCTACGTTGTCGTATTCCTTTCATATTCATATAAATGTGGATATACGACAAGGTGACAACAACCCAACAACAAATATAATCGAGTGACATCTAGAGGGCAATATTCACTGTCTTAAACAATAAACAGAATAAAAAAGTACAGCCAATTGTTGAAAAGTATTTTCATTTGGATTATGTAAGATTTAAAATCTTTTCAACAACTTTTTGAGTTTTAGGTTAAACCCACCAATAAATAAAGTTGTGATGTCATTGCAGCAAGTCCGTAAAAAGGACGTCGATTAGAAAAGCCAAAAAATGGACGTCGATTTGATAACAAGAAGAAAGATTAGAGGGGCATGCATTGGCCGTCGATTTGGAATCTTATTTTATTATGACATCAGATTTGGACGTCGATTTCAGGAACGGACGTCGATCTGAGTCTTACATATATATGTTGTTGTTTTTTTTTCGTAGGAACCTGTAGTTCAATGGGTGTCGTTGGTCCATATCTGTTATGTTTGTTTTTCGTTAATGTTTTGTTATAAATTAGGTTGTTGGTTTTCTCAATTGAATTGTTTCATATTTTTTATAGCCGACTATACGGTATAGGGTTTTCTCATTGTTGAAGGCCTTACGGTTGCCTATAATTGCTTACATCCACTTCATTTGAACTTTGGTGAATAGTTGTCTCATTGGCAATCTTTCCACATTTCCCTTTTTTTATATAGACGGAAATGGTTTGATGCTGTGATTTTCATTTTATCTTTAAAACTACAAAGTGCAAACATCTGAGAAAAAAAGGTAGAAAATATATTCAGATGTTGGTTTTATTTTACCTTTTATTCTGGAATTTCTGATAACAACCTTTATAATGGTCCCTTACACATTTGATCTAATTGAGGCTAACCACCGAGATAATGATCACTTACACATTTGATTTAATTGTGGCTAACAACCCAGATAATGATCACTTACACATTTGATTTAATTGTGGCTAACCACCTACATAATGATCACTTACACATTTGATTTAATTGTGGCTAACCACCTAGATAAGGACCACTTATACATTTGATTTAATTGTGGATAACCACCTAGATAATGATCACTTACACATTTGATTTAATTGTGGATAACCACCTATATAATGATCACTTACACATTTGATTTAATTGTGGCTAACCACCTAGATAATGATCACTTACACATTTGATTTAATTGTGGATAACCACCTAGATAATGATCACTTACACATTTGATTTAATTGTGGCTAACCACCTAGATAATGACCACTTAAACATTTGATTTAATTGTGGCTAACCACCTAGATAATGACCACTTACACATTTGATTTAAGGGTGGCTAAGCACCTAGATAAGGACCACTTACACATTTGATTTAAGGGTGGCTAAGCACCTAGATAATGACCACTTACACATTTCATTTAAGGGTGGCTAAGCACCTAGATCATACATGACCACTTACACATTTGATTTAATGGTGGCTAAGCACCTAGATAATGACCACTTACACATTTCATTTAATGGTGGCTAAGCACCTAGATAATGACCACTTACACATTTCATTTAAGAGTGGCTAAGCACCTAGATAATGCATGACCACTTACACATTTGATTTAATGGTGGCTAAGCACCTAGATAATGATCACTTACACATTTCATGTAAGGGTGGCTAAGCACCTAGATAATGCATGACCACTTACACATTCGATATCAGGGTGGCTAACCACGTAGATAATAATCACTTACACATTTGATATCAGGGTGGCTAGCCATCTATATAATGATCACTTACACATTTGATACCAGGGCGGCTAACCACCTATACAATGATCACTTACACATTTGATATCAGGGTTGCTAACCATCTAGATAATGATCACTTACAAATTTGATATCAGGGTGGCTTACCAACTAGACATGATGACTTACACACTTGATTTCAGAGTGGCTAACCATCGAGATAATGATCACTTACAGATCTGATTTCAGGATGTCTAAAAAGATCAATACTTGCAGAATTGGTCAACAACTGTTCAAGAATGTAGTAAACTGTCTTTTTATTGTAGATTTAAATTAACTTCTTGTATTGAAAAATATCTTTCTTTTAGCAATAATGTCTGTCTGTTAACAAAGTTACGTAGTGGAACATTAAAATTAAATATTGAAGTTGGTCGTTATAATAATATTCCGAGAGAAAATCGTTTATGTAAATGCTGTAAAATGTGTGTTATTGAAGATGAATACCATTTTGTTCTTGTTTGTCTAGCTTATAGATCTGTTCGAACACATTTTTCACCAAAGTATTAATGTTCTTGGCTTAATAATCACAAACTGTTGTATATACTACAAGCGTCTAGTAAGACTCTTACTATCAAATTATGTAATTATGTAAAAGCTGCATGGAATATTCGATCTAATATAGTCTCATAACTTTATATGTCATTGTATTATACTATTGTTCTCTGCTGTCTATTCATGTTTTATATTATGTAATATATGTTGTTAATTTTGCCATAGCATGTTTATGCTTTTGCAATAAAGATTCAATCATTCATTCAACCACCTAGATATTGATCACTTACACATCTGATTTCAGGGTGGCTAACCAACTTGATAATGATCTCTTACACATCTGATTTCAGGGTGGCTAACCAACTAGATAATGATCCCTTACACATCTGATTTCAGGGTGGCTAACCAACTAGATAATGATCACTTACCCATTTGATTTCAGGGTGGCTAACCACATGGGATATACAGGTGGTTGTTGCTGGAACGTTGATTGTGACAAACAACAGCTTGTCAATTTTACAGGGTTTAATCCATTTAATAAATCTGAGGATTATCACAGTCTCTGTGAAATAATGAACTGGAAAAATCAAACTGAGGTAAGGAAGGAATGATGATATGACAAATTCAGGGGAACAGTATATGAGACATGAAATTGAATAGCTACACGTGAGAGTGGGAACTGTATACGTATGAGAGACATAAGATATAAAAGCTACACGTGACAGAAAAGGGCAGTATGATAGACATGAGATGTAATAGCTACACGTGAGAAGGAGGCACAGTATCAGAAACAGGAGATTTAATAGATACACATGAGAAGGTGAACAGTATAAGAAACGCTACACGTGAGAGAAAAGGATAGTATGATGGACATGATATTTTTAATAGCTACACGTAAGAGGGAGAAACAGTATCAGAGACATGAGATTTAATAGCTATACGTGAGACAGAGGAACAGTATCAGATATATGAGATTTAATATCTACAAGTAAGAGGGAGAAACAGTATCAGAGACATGAGATTTAATAGCTACACGTGAGGGGGAGAAATAGTATCAGATACATGAGATTTATTATCTACACATGAGAGGAAGGAACAGAATCAGAGACATGAGATTTAATAGCTACACATGATCATGAGAAGGGGGAACAGTATCAGAGATATGAGATGTAATAGCTATACGTGGGAGAGAGGAACAGTATCAGATACATGAGATTTAATATCTACAAGTAAGAGGAAGGAGCAGTATGAGAGACGTGAGAGGGAAGAGCAGTATGAGAGACATGAGATTTAATAGCTACACGTGAGAGGGAGGCACAGTATCAGAAACAGGAGATTTAATAGATACACATGAGATGGTGAACGGTATAAGAGACGCTATACGTGAGAGAAAAGGATAGTATGATAGACATGATATTTAATAGCTACACGTAAGAGGGAGAAACAGTATCAGAGAATTGAGATTTAATAGCTACACGTGAGAGGGAGGAACAGTATCAGAGACATGAGATTTAATGGCTACAAGTAAGCGAGAGAAACAGTATAAGAGACATGAGATTTAATAGCTACACGTGAGGGTAAGAAATAGTATCAGATACATGAGATTTATTATCTACACATGAGAGGAAGGAACAGAATCAGAGAGATGAGATTTAATAGCTACACATGATCATGAGAAGGGGGAACAGTATCAGAGATATGAGATTTAATAGCTATACGTGAGAGAGAGGAACAGTATCAGATACATGAGATTTAATATCTACATGTAAGAGGAAGGAACAGTATGAGAGACGTGAGATTTAAAAGCTACACGTGGGAGGGAAGAGCAGTATGAGAGACATGAGATTTAATAGCTACACGTGAGAGGGAGGCACAGTATCAGAAACAGGATATTTAATAGCTATACATGAGAGTGAGAACAGTATAAGAGACGCTACACGTGAGAGAAAAGGATAGTATGATAGACATGATATTTAATAGCTTCACGTAAGAGGGAGAAACAGTATCAGCGAATTGAGATTTAATAGCTACACGTGAGAGGGAGGAACAGTATCAGAAACATGAGATTTAATGGCTACAAGTAAGAGGGAGAAACAGTATGAGAGACATGAGATTTAATAGCTACACGTGAGGGGGGGGAATAGTATCAGATACATGAGATTCATTATCTACACATGAGAGGAAGGAACAGAATCAGAGACATGAGATTTAATAGCTACACATGAGAAGGGGGAACAGTATCAGAGACATTAGATTTAATAGCTATACGTGAGAGAGAGGAACATTATCAGATACATGAGATTTAATATCTACAAGTAAGAGGGAGGAGCAGTATGAGAGACGTGAGATTTAAAAGCTACACGTGAGAGGGAAGAGCAGTATGAGAGACATAAGATTTAATAGCTACACATGAGAGGGAGGAACAGTATCAGAGACATGAAATTTAATAGCAACACATGAGAGGGACGGACAGTATCAGAGACATGAGATTTAATAGCTATACGTGAGAGGGGAACAGTATCAACGATAAGAGATTTAATCACTACACATGAGAGTTAAGAACAATATCAGAGATATATATGAGATTTACCCCCCCCCCCCGGTAATAGCTACACGTGAGAAGGAAGAACAAGAGACACGATATTTAGTACCTGCAAGTCATAGGGAAGAACAGTATCAGCGACATGAGATTTGAAATCTTCACGTGAGAGGGAGTAACAGTATCAAAGGCAGGACATTTAACGGCTACACGTGAGAGAGAGGAGAAGTCTCAGTCAGGAGATGTAAAGGCTACACGTGAGAGAGAGAGAGAGGAGAAGTATCAGAGTCGGAAGATGTAAATACTACACGTGAGAGAGAGAAGTATAATAGTCAACAGATGTCAAGGCTACACGTTACTGAGAGGAGAAGTATCAGAGTCGGGAGATGTAAAGGCTACATACACGTGAGTGGGAGGAACAGTATCAAAGGCAGGATATTTAACAGCTACGCGTGACAGAGAGGAGAAGTATAAGAATGAGGAGATGTAAATGCTACATATGAGAGAGAGAGGAGAAGTATCAGAGTCGGAAGATATAAAGGCTACACGTGAGAGAGAGGACAAGTATAAGAGTCAGTAGAGGTAAATGCTACACGTGAGAGAGAGAAGAGAAGTATCAGAGTCGGAAGATGTAAAGGCTACACGTGAGAGAGAGGAAAAGTATAAGAGTCAGGAGAGGTAAATGCTACACGTGACAGAAAGGAGAAGTATCAGTCAGGAGACGTAAAAGCTACACGTGAGAGAGAGGAGAAGTATAAGAGTCAGGAGAGGTAAATGCTACACGTGACAGAAAGTAGAAGTATCAGTCAGGAGACGTAAAAGCTACACATGAGAGAGAGGAGAAGTATGAGAGTCAAAAGATGTAATAACTACACATTAGAACGAGGTGTAGAATGCAAACTCCAGCTTTTGCGATTGTTTTCACTCTCATTTTTGTCCGTTTTATTTCTCGACGTGTTAGATATTGACTGAATATCGATAGACTACGTTTAAAAATTGTAGGTTGAATTATGTCGTCTTGCCAAGCTTCCTGACCTAAATCAGTCAGATCAGTATGTCAGATCTACCTTGCTTAATTGGATAAGCGAGTTAACAAAGAAATATGGAATCGATGGTTACAGAATAGACACAGTCACAGAGGTAGGGTTGTTTCAGGCACAGTCAAACATGTAGACTCGTAGACAAAATCTTTATATAGGCACAGTAAAACAGGTAGGCACATAGACATAAGGTTGAATCAGGCACAGTCACAGAAAAGGTACCCTACAAAATACCTCGATGAGCCTGACTGAAAAGGCAAACACAAATGTAAATATGCACGAGATTTAATTAACCAACTCCCTTCATAGATCGCAAACAGAAACCAAATATATTTATGACACACGACTGGGCAGAAGCATAGGACATCATCATTATTTTACGTCCACGATTGAGCAATTAAACTAAACACACGAAAACCGAAAGTACTTCAAAATGTTTACCGGATATAGAGGTATTAACATATTAGTCTTCTTCCATTTTCATAAGGTTTCATATAAAGAGCTCTGAATAATATGAGATTTTAGTTTTATTACTCCATTATTTTTTTTAAACGATTGGTCATGCTTAAGTTAGGTCTTAAAACCGGACGGAATCTGAATCTTACTCTTAGGAAGTCTTGACAAAATGGGTGCAGAACCTTAAAATAGTATTCAGCAGCTGAGAAATGATACATTTAACCTTTTCTCGTTAAAACTTTAATGATAAACGTGCATTTAAATCATCATAACAAGGTACCGATAAGTTATTGCAAAGATAATTGAATAATGGAAAGTAGAAAGTTAGTGGGAAAGACACCAATGTTGCCGTAAGTAGAGGGGGTCAGCCTACCCTTCAAAAGCACCTGATATCACCATCAGTTTTTGATGGGGTTCGTGTTAATCAGTCTTTAGTTTTCAATATAGTTTTGTAAGCGTAATGTTTTGTAAACTTGTTTGTCTTTTCATTATTTTTACCATGGCGTTGTCAATCTTGCTTGTTCCCTTTTTTTACCATGGTGTTATCAGTCTTGTTCCCTTTTTTGCCATGGCGTTGTCAGTCTTGTTCCCTTTTTTTGCCATGGCGTTGTCCGTCTTGTTCCCCTTTTTGCCATGGCGTTGTCAGTCTTATTCCCTTTTTTGCCATGGCATTGTCAGTCCCTTTTTTGCCATGGCGTTGTCAATCTTGTTCCCTTTTTTGCCATGGCGTTGTCAGTCTTGTTCGTTTTTTTTGTCATGGCGTTGTCAGTTTTGTTCCCTTTATTTTGCCATGGCGTTGTCAGTCTTGTTCCCTTCTTTTGTCATGGCGTTGTCAGTTTTGTTCCCTTTTTTTTGCCATGGCGTTGTCAGTCTTGTTCCCTTTTTTTGCCATGGCGTAGTCAGTCTTGTTCCCTTTATTTTGCTATGGCGTTGTCAGTCTTGTTCCCTTCTTTTGTCATGGCGTTGTCAGTTTTGTTCCCTTTTTTTTGCCATGGCGTTGTAAGTCTTGTTCCCTTTTTTTGCCATGGCGTTGTCAGTCTTGTTCCCTTTTTTTGTCATGGCGTTGTCAGTTTTGTTCCCTTTTTTTTTTGCCATGGCGTTGTCAGTCTTGTTCCCTTTTTTTGCCATGTCGTTGTCAGTCTTGTTCCCTTTTTTTGCCATGGCGTTGTCAGTCTTGTTCCCTTTTTTTTGCCATGGCGTTGTCAGTCTTGTTCCCTTGGTATCTTTCGGATGTTTTTCTTTTTTTACAATTGAGGCTCTTAATAATCCAATTCTTATTACATTTCATAAAATTATCTTATCTTGTAGGAAATGACAAAATTTCAAATGTTAAAAAAATAAACGAACAATGAAAAAAAGAAATTAAGCATTTGTGCAAATGCCCAGTTTATTTACTCAGTCAGAACTAACGCAATCTACCGATGGAGAAAGAGTGAATCACACTTATAATAAGATTTTAGCTAGCTATCAGGAGTGAATCACACTTATAATAAGATTTTAGCTATCTATCAGTGTTGACTGTTACTATTTGTTTTAATATTAGGTGGCAAAAGACTTCTGGTCAGAATTCCAGGTCGCTGCAGACGCTTTCTGCCTGGGAGAGGCAAGCAGTGATAATATAACGTACACAGCTGAGTACCAAGGCCCGTTAAATGCTGTTCTCAACTTCCCACTTTACTATACGATGAAGAGAGTGTTTACAGAGAACCAGTCAATGAAAACTCTACAAACTACATTAGACCAAGAGGTATAACTACCCTGAACAATTTTTCTTTTAGATTACCACCTACCACATCCGACTCCTCCGTATGCACAAAAACAAAAAAAATTGTTCAAAGCCTGAACTAATACATCCACCAAATGTCCAAAGTGTGCATGGTGGGATAAAACCAGTTTTACGTGCACGCAAACCTATTGCCCATCAAGATCATTTGTCGTGAAGGAAAAACACACCGAACAATGAAATAAAAGACGGCACATGGTTTGGAAATCAGGGTCATGTTTTTTTTTTCGTTTGAATGTTTCACATTTTGTAATGTCGGGCCTTTTTAGCTCACCGGGGCCCGAAGGGCCCCATGTGAGCTTATGCCATCACTTGGCGTCCGTCGTCGTCCGTCGTCTGTCGTCGTCTGTCGTCGTAATTTATTTCAAAAATCTTCTCCTCTGAAACTACTGGGCCAAATACCTTCAAACTTTAACTAAATGTTCCTTAGGGTATCTAGTTTATAAATTATATCCGAAATTTTGATCCATCGACAAACATGGCCGCCATGGCTTAAAATAGAACATAGGGGTCAAATGCAGTTTTTGGCTTATATCTCAAAAACTAAAGCTTTTAGAGCAAATCTGACAGGGGCAAAATTGTTCAATTGGTCAAACAGTGGGTTGCTGCCACCGAATTTGTAGTTTTAACAAAATTTTGCAGTTTTTTGTTATTATTTTGAAAATTATTATAGATATATATAAACTGTAAGCAGCAATAATGTTCAGCAAAGTAAGATCTACAAAAAAGTTAATATGACCATAATTGTCAATTGACCCCTTAAGGAGTTATTGCCCTTTAAAGACAATTTTACACAATTTGTTCATCCAGTTTGCTAACATTTGAAAATCTTCTCCTCTGAAATACAGGTGAGCGATTCAGGCTCTTGATAGCCTCTTGTATAGTTAACTGTACGGTATAGCTTTTGTTCATTGTTGGAGGCCTATACAGAGTTGCTTAAATCTGCTTCATTTGGACTATGTTGGATACTTTTATCATTGGCAATCATGTCATCTCCTTATTTTATACTTATTGTCTAACCTTATTCAGACTTTTCGTAAAAGAGCTTCAACCTCAGATTGAGTGCAATTGTATTTTCATGAATGAAAATCTGCCTGAAACGTATAATTTTAATTACGCCAGTGAGGCTACATGGTAAATGGTATTCTCGGTGATAGAAAGGAACCGGCTAGTGGTACAAATGAAAACATCAGATACCGATTTCCGTGCTTGCGCCACCTAGTGGTACTGATGAAAACATAAGATACCGGTTTCCGTGCTTGCGCCACCTAGTGGTACTGATGAAAACATCAGATACCGATTTCCGTCCGTTCGACGCCTAGCGGTACTGGTGAAAACATTAGATACCAATTTCCGTCCGTTCGACGCCTAGCGGTACTGGTGAAAACATTAGATACCGATTTCCGTCCGTTCGACGCCTAGCGGTACTGGTGAAAACATTAGATACCGATTTCCGTCCGTTCGACGCCTAGCGGTACTGGTGAAAACATTAGATACCGATTTCCGTCCGTCCGACGCCTAGCGGTACTGGTGAAAACATTAGAAACCGATTTACGTCCGTTCGACGCCTAGCGGTACTGGTGAAAACATTAGATACCGATTTCCGTCCGTTCGACGCCTAGCGGTACTAGTGAAAACATTAGATACCGATTTCCGTCCGTTCGGTTAAAAGCTCATTAGAGCTTATGTTGTCTCTGTTTGTATACATTGTCGACTCTAAATAAAGTTTATTTATTTATTATTATTTGCCGCCTAGTGGTACCGGTGAAAACATTAGATACCGATTTTCGTCCGTTCGGTTAAAAGCTCATTAGAGCTTATGTTGCCTCTGTTTGTATACATTGCCGACTCTAAATAAAGCTTATTTATTTATTTTTATTCGCCGCCTAGTGGTACTGGTGAAAACATTAGATACCGATTTCCGTCCGTCCGACGCCTAGCGGTACTGGTGAAAACATTAGATACCGATTTTCGTCCGTCCGACGCCTAGCGGTACTGGTGAAAACATTAGATACCGATTTCCGTCCTTTGGCCGCCTAGTGGTACCGGTGAAAACATTAAGATACCGATTTCCGTCCTTTCGCCGCCCAATGGTACCGGTGAAAACATTAGATACCGATTTCCGTCCGTTCGACGCCTAGTGGTACCGGTGAAAACATTAGATACCGATTTCCGTCCTTTCGCCGCCTAGTGGTACCGGTGAAAACATTAGATACCGATTTCCGTCCTTTCGCCATCTAGTGGTACCGGTAAAAACATTAGATACCGATTTCCGCCCGTTCGACGCCTAGCGGTACTGGTGAAAACATTAGATACCGATTTCATTACGTGTGCCGCCTTTTGGTACTGATGAAAACATTTAATACCGATTGCCTTGCGTGTGCCGCCTAGTGGTACTGAATTCTTTAGATATTGATTTCCGTGCGTGTGCCACCTAGTTGTACGGATGAAAACATTAGATACTGATTTCCGTCTTTTCGCCGCCTAGTGGTACCGGCGAAAACATTAGATACCGATTTCCGTCCTTTCGCCGCCTAGTGTTACCGGTGAAAACATTAGATACCGATTTCCGTCCTTTCGCCGCCTAGTGTTACTGGTGAAAACATTAGATACCGATTTCCGCCCGTTCGACGCCTAGCGGTACTGGTGAAAACATTAGATACCGATTTCCGTCCTTTCGCCGCCTAGTGTTACCGGTGAAAACATTAGATACCGATTTCCGCCCGTTCGACGCCTAGTGGTACCGGCGAAAACATTAGACACCGATTTCCGTCCTTTCGCCGCCTAGTGTTACCGGTGAAAACATTAGATACCGATTTCCGCCCGTTCGACGCCTAGTGGTACCGGCGAAAACATTAGATACCGATTTCCGTCCTTTCGCCGCCTAGTGTTACCGGTGAAAACATTAGATACCGATTTCCGTCCGTTCGACGCCTAGCGGTACTCGTGAAAACATTAGATACCGATTTCCGCCCGTTCGACGCCTAGTGGTACCTGTGAAACATTAGATACCGATTTCCGTCCTTTCGCCGCCTAGTGGTACTGGTGAAAACATTAGATACCGATTTCGGTCCGTTCGACGCCTAGCGGTACTCGTGAAAACATTAGATACCGATTTCTGTACGTGTGCCGCCTTTTGGTACTGATGAAAACATTAAATACCGATTGCCTTGTGGTACTGAAATCTTTAGATATTGATTTCCGTTCTTGCGCCACCTAGTTGTACTGATGAAAACATTCGATACCGATTCCCCTTGTGTGCACCACGTTCTTTTTTGTAAAACGTACTACGTCATGTAAACCCCAAACTCAATGTTAAAGATCTATTGTAAATATTAATTATAAGTAAAAGGACATGTGTCAAATTATAGCTTGTACTAGTGGATAGACATTCCTGTTTATTGTTGAAGACTGCAAGTTGACCATTAGATGAATTTTGTTTATTTTTGTCGTGGGGTTGCTGTTTCATTTGCATATTGTTTAAAATGTGACTTTTTCTTGTATTTTCAGAAAATGAAATTCGAAGATATAACAGTTCTTGGAAATTTTTTAGATAACCATGACTTTCAAAGATTTCTCAGTATATCACCAAATATAACGTTGTTAATGAATAACCTGGCATATGTCTTATTATCACAGGTAAGAACGATTTACCATGGCGCACCTCTTTAAGATTTATATTATAGTTAATACCATATTAGCAGATAAAGGTATAGTAAACATATAGAATGTTCAACAGGGGTAGGATGTTAAAGTTAACAACGGACATATGTTACAGCTTCATAAATATATAAACATTTAACGTAAGCAGTCATTTTTCTACTGAAGAACCCGTTATGGTTCTCGTGAAAAGTTCTCGTGAATAAAACGTAAAAATTAAAAGCCCTTGGTTCAAAATTAAGCCTCTTAGAAATAAAACACGAAAATCGTGGTAGGAAACGCAAGCCCAGCAATATTGTATCAACAACGAGATTTATGCGCCATATAGAGGTGCAGCTGGAATTTTCCACATTTAAGATGGAAAGTTTACAATGGGAAAATCGAAGTTATCTCTGTACTCGTATAGTCTCAGCGAGAAGACATATTCAACTAATAGGAAACCTTCAATTCATATGTTTACTTTAGTTTTATTTATCTTTAGTTCAAATCTTTTCTTAGGGTATTCCTATAATTTATTATGGTACAGAGCAAGTTTTCAATGGTGGAAACGATCCAGAAAACCGAGAAGCTTTATGGCCACATTACAACCAAAAGTCACGGTTATATAAGGTACATATGTTAATCAATAAGGAGATATAGGTTATACATCAATGAGACATCAATCCACAACTTAAACATATATACCAGTATAAAAATCAACATACAGTAATAAACAATAGACTGTTATTTGTACAACTCGTCCAGCTCTACCTCATGTACGTCCTATCGAGTCTTGAACAAATTATGTATAAATCAAACAGAGACCATCAGATTCCCCAAAATGGCAAAAACATTATGAAATAACAATAGATAACCACTGACAAGGCTAATGACTTGTGATATGCACATGAACACGTATAAAAGGAAGTTACACATAGGAATGTACAATAGTAAGGAACACATATGAATGGACAATAGGATGGTACACATAGGAATTTACAATGGGAACGTCCACTTAGAAATGTACACTGAATAGGATGATACACATAGGAATATACAATAATATTGTACACACGAGAGTGTAAAATAGTAAGATACACATAGGAATATACAATAGTAAGGTACATATGAATGTACATTAGGAAGGTACACATAGTTATGTTCAATGTATTCAGTCGATGAGAAGGCCACTCCAATGTGTCTCATTAAGTCATCAGTAATGTAAAGATACGAAGGCCACTCCAATGTGTCTCATTAAGTCATCAGTAATGTAAAGATACGAAGGCCACTCCAATGTGTCTCATTAAGTCATCAGTAATGTAAAGATACGAAAGTCACTCCAATGTGTCTCATAAGGTCATCAGTAATGTAAAGATACGAAGGCCACTCCAATGTGTCTCATTAAGTCATCAGTAATGTAAAGATACGAAGGCCACTCAAATGTGTCTCATTAAGTCATCAGTAATGTAAAGATACGAAAGTCACTCCAATGTGTCTCATAAGGTCATCAGTAATGTAAAGATACGAAGGCCACTCCAATGTGTCTCATTAAGTCATCAGTAATGTAAAGATACGAAGGCCACTCCAATGTGTCTCATTAAGTCATCAATAATGTAAAGATACGAAAGTCACTCAAATGTGTATCATTAAATCATCATTAATATAAAGATACGAAAACCACTCCAATGTGTCTCATTAAGTCATCAGTAAAGTAAAGATACGAAAGTCACTCCAATGTGTCTCATTGAGTCATTAGTAATGTAAAGATACGAAAGCCACTCCAATGAGTCTCATAAAGTCATCAGTAATGTAAAGATGCGAAGGCCACTCCAATGTGTCTCATTAAGTCATCAGTAATTCAAAGATACGAAGGCCTCTCCAATATGTCTCATTAAGTCATCAGGAATGTACAGATACGAAGGCCACTCCAATATGTCTCATTAAGTCATCAATAATGTAAAGATACGAAAGTCACTCAAATGTGTATCATTAAATCATCATTAATATAAAGATACGAAAACCACTCCAATGTGTCTCATTAAGTCATCAGTAAAGTAAAGATACGAAAGTCACTCCAATGTGTCTCATTAAGTCATTAGTAATGTAAAGATACGAAAGCCACTCCAATGAGTCTCATTAAGTCATCAGTAATGTAAAGATGCGAAGGCCACTCCAATGTGTCTCATTAAGTCATCAGTAATGTAAAGATACGAATGCCATTACGATGTGTCTCATTAAGTCATTGGTAATGTAAAGATACGAAAACCACTCCAATGTGTCTCATTAAGTCATCAGTAATGTAAAGATACGAAAGCCACTCCAATGTGTCTCATTTAGAGATCCAGTGTCCCTTTTACTCTGTGTTTCAAATGGAACCTTTCTTATTTTGTTGGTAACAGTTTATTTCGCAACTGTCACTCCTTAGAAGAAGATCTGATTTGGATTTTTCCTCAGACCAACAAACAGAGGTGTATGCAGCTGATGATTACTTTGTATTCTCTCGTGGTGATAAACACCAGGTATTGATTATGCGTATAGTGAGGTGTGTAGTATAGTAATTAAGACAGCAACCTAACGAAATACAAAGGTACAAATAAACAATTGTATACGTGAATAAGGCAGCAACCAAACGATATCATAAGGAAAACAATCATGTTATGTAATTATACACAAAACTCACCTAACAAACAATACTATACAATCGTAGGTTCTATGCATTAAAAGCACGCGTAGCACGTTGATATACATGTCATAGTTTTGCCAAATTGGAGTATTTCAAGGACACCGTCACTACAGTATTATGTAAAAGCCGGATGAGGCCACTTTCGCGTTTTGGGATTTTCAAAGCCGAAAACTTCAAACAGCGAAAGCGCGAAATCGCGAACTTGGCCGCATCCGGCCTCCATTGTAATGTCATTTTCTTAAACATTTTACATTTCAGTGATGAAACATGAAAATGCCAAAAATATAGATAAACATTATCTGCATTATACGTATGAATAAGATAGAATAAATTCCTAGACTGAACAGACACTAATTTTGAAATTGTGAAATGGTGAAGAATGAGTTGAAAGAATATCTTCAGGAAACAAACAGATCGTATAAGGAGAACAAACTTAAAACAACACAAGAAAAATATTCCAGACCTGTTCACTTTTAGTTCTTGTAATTGATTTATATTACAAAAGACAACATTTTAAAATAATATCTGTATGTTTTCTTTTATGTTTGTTTTCTAGATTTTAATATTTATTTCAAATAAAATCTCCGATGGAAATCTGACAAAGAAGTTCCCAGTAAATGTATATAAGGATGGGACAGGTATAATGTTATTTTAAATAAAAGCAAGCTTATCATGTCGTGCAATACTAGTAAATTAATGTTTTCATAATAAAAGTGTCGACAGAAGTAAAAATATATTAACATTTCCATGAAGTATCTGAAGCTCCAGGCAAGTAGCCTCTACACAGGAAAATATATTAACATTTCCATGAAGTATCTGAAGCTCCAGGCAAGTAGCCTCTACACAGGAAAATATATTAACATTTCCATGAAGTATCTGAAGCTCCAGGCATGTAGCCTCTACACAAGAAAATATATTAACATTTCCATGAAGTATCTGAAGCTCCAGGCAAGTAAACTCTACACGTGAAAATATATTAACATTTCCATGCAGTATCTGAAGCTCCAGGCAAGTAGCCTCTACACGGGAAAATATATTAACATTTCCATGAAGTATCTGAAGCTCCAGGCAAGTAGCCTCTACACCGGAAAATATATTAACATTTCCATGAAGTATCTGAAGCTCCAGGCAAGTAAACTCTACACGGGAAAATATATTAACATTTCCATGAAGTATCTGAATCTCCAGGCAAGTAAACTCTACACGGGAAAATATATTAATATTTCCATGAAGTATCTGAAGCTCCAGGCAAGTAGCCTCTACACGGGAAAATATATTAACATTTCCATGAAGTATCTGAATCTCCAGGCAAGTAAACTCTACACGGGAAAATATATTAATATTTCCATGAAGTATCTGAAGCTCCAGGCAAGTAGCCTCTACACATGAAAATATATTAACATTTCCATGAAGTATCTGAAGCTCCAGGCAAGTAGCCTCTACACAGGAGAAAAAAAAACAGGTTTATAGATACCATAGACTTTTGAATACTTTTAAACACAATTACAGTCGGTATCGACATCTTATATATCTGTAAACATAATGTCTTTCGTAAAAAGATAATATTTTCTCATATTACGTTTTATTGCAATGTCGTTAATAGAATAAAAATACTGGGAAATGATATGTGCATAAAGTCGAGAAATTTCTAAAATCTTTCTACAGCAAGGGCGTGATACACTCAATAATGCAGGTTCTTTCTTCCGAAAGTCTGACGTCACTCAATAATTCAGGCAAAAAGGTTCTTTCTTCCGAAAGTCTGACGATTTTAGATACTTGCTGGATGGTTTGAAATATGCCGATTACAAACAAGTTATATAATGAGACTATGAAACCTGTTTCCGATTCTTCTTCGGATCCATAATTGTAACCATTATGCTATTGTCACATCATACAATGTCATATCATGGATTTAACAAGCGCTCTTAATGTTAAGAGAATTTACAAAATTACGCTGAAGTAAAATCAAAATTATAAAAAAACAAGATTTGTTTTTTATGAAATAACTAAAACAGTTCCTAAAAAAAATGCGTTAATAGATGTAAATGTATCGTTTATTATTTATTATTTTTTTTTGATGAATCAAAAATCATTTCATAAAAGAGGCATGACCATGTTCCCGTGTATTTGTTTTACTCAGATCGTGGATCAACATCTAAAAAGGTATGCAAACCAGAGTAAATTTAGGAAAGACTTCCGTTTGAACTCCCTTTTCTGTTGACTGAAAAAGCATAGACATACATTTGAGCATGAAAGTCTGAATTGTATTCTTGAAAGATTTTCAACGATTGTTACGTGTAGCAGAACTGAAATGTCATTAAGTGTTATATATATCGCTGTCTGAAAAAGAACCTTGAGGCATTCCTACAAATTTTACTTTTTGTAAAATTTGGCCTTGAATGATATTTGTAATCAAGATGAATCAGTATCCGAAAGGTTATGTACGTGGCTTTATTATCGATAGAAGTTGGTTTTGACTTGAATTGTCCAGTTTAACCCTTATCATAAACTAAACACTTGACAATGTCTACCAGGCTTGAATTGTCCAGCCCTTTTGATAATCTAAACACTAGACAATGCCTACTAAAGTTACAGTTAAAGCCTTGAATTGTCCAGCCCTTTTGATAATCTAAACACTTGACAATGTCTACTAAAGTTACAGTTAAAGCCTTGAATTGTCCAGCCCTTTTGATAATCTAAACACTTGACAATGTCTACTAAAGTTACAGTTAAAGGATTGAATTGTCCACCCCTTAAGATAAACTAAACACTTGACAATGCCTACTAAAGTTACAGTTAAAGCCTTGAATTGTCCAGCCCTTATGATAAACTAAACACTTGACAATGTCTACTAAAGTTACAGTTAAAGGCTTGAATTGTCCACCCCTTATGATAAACTAAACACTTGACAATGTCTACTAAAGTTACAGTTAAAGCCTTACATTGTCCACCCCTTATGATAAACTAAACACTTGACAATGTCTACTAAAGTTACAGTTAAAGGCTTGAATTGTCCACCCCTTATGATAAACTAAATACTTGACAATGTCTACTAAAGTTACAGTTAAAGCCTTGAATTGTCCAGCCCTTATGATAAACTAAACACTTGACAATGTCTACTAAAGTTACAGTTGAAGGCTTGAATTGTCCACCCCTTATGATAAACTAAACACTTGACAATGTCTACTAAAGTTACAGTTAAAGGCTTGAATTGTCCAGCCTTCATGATAAACTAAACACTTGACAATGTCTACCAAAGTTACAGTTAAATCTTTTCAGCCAATTTCGTTACACATTGAAAAATAAGACATAATAGTATAGCATCAAAGTGAACAAATTGACTGATTTTAGGATAATTAACCGCGAGTATAATAAAATTCATGGTAAAATTGCATTTCATTTTAAACATTAAAAGTCAATAAGTTTTTAGTACAGTAGTATTTCATATACTTCTACAACACAATTATGATCAATTATTTATTACTTTGATTGTTTTTTCAGTCCTTGTAAACATTGAAAATGACAACGACTCTGTTGAAGTAACACACAGTATGATTGAGATAGAGTTGTATAAGAATATGCCAAAGGTTTACAGATTACAAACAGATACCAACAGCAGTGATCCAGTTCGTATATCCATTATTATGACAATGTTGTCGTCTTTGGTAACAATTGGTATCTATTGGGTAGCATCATAGTAAGATACCAACCAGTGGCGGATCCAGAGGGGGCGTAGAGGGCGTACGCCCCCCCTTTGCATGAACTTTTTTTTTTTTTTTTTGTAAAATGATGAATCAGACTAGACTTCGTGAACTTTGCCATTTTCCGGTCGTGTATTTAATTTTTATGCGACAATTCTTTACTTATAAAGATATTTTCGCTCGTATTTACTGTAATATATTATTGATTATGTCAGTCATATGTTTCGCTACGGTGGAGTTGATCTGTACTTTCGAAACGTCACTCAGTCATTTTGAAATTCAAATTACAGTAACACATTGCTTAGGCGGAGGATGACAAGCATGACGCCTTCAAAGCGACAAAGGATTGAGCAAGAACGTATTGACTTCTATTTCATATTTCCACTCAACAGAAAGTAATACTCTATTACACTCTCATGAAAAAAAAAGTTCCACGGCAATATTATTTACCTACGAAAATATGTTTAACCCCACACGCCCCAGCCAATTAATAACATTGCTGAATAAAGGTACGGACCATTTGATTTGATAGGGCAGTCTGAGATATTTTAGAGAAAAAATTCTTACCCTGATTTTTGCCTTAAACAAAAATTCTTTTTTTTTGGAGGGGGGGGGGGGGGTTGCATGTAAATCCCATATCTGACCGGAATGTCTGTTTCGCCGAACTGATATACTGAATACTTTTTTCAAGGCCCAACTGCAACCTGCCTGCTGGGTGTGGCCTTTATGTCTCCATTTGTCGACCGTCATTCACAACTTCGTTGTCATTTGATTTTCAGACTCATTCGTAGCCGTTGGTTGATTTGGAACCCCTCACTTCCCTTGTTGAGTGAAACATTTCACCAAACATTTGGATAAAAATTGCTTCTTTGTCTTTGTTCGTGTCGGTCGTATTATAAACTTCATTGAATAGCCGTATATCATGTTTACAACAAGTAATCTGTGAGGTTATGCTAACTAACCATACAACAAACGAGAATTTTCCATGTCCATTTTTTACTGACAAATCTCACATCAAATATATTAGTACATAGCTTTAGATCCATTCAATCATTTTATAATAGACAACTAATGGGGAGAATGCGGCACCAAGCTTACCGGCACTTTAACTATAAAATATACATACCCCACGTTAGGAACCGTCACTAAAAATGTGCATTTTACACTTATTTTATGTTTTGTAGCCAAAAAAAAAGGTCCAAAAAATTTTCGCCAAGCTCCGCTCGGCAAATATTACATACTACGCCCCCCCTTTCTAAAATCCTGGATCCGCCCCTGCCAACAGCAGTGTTCCAGTTCGTGTATCCATTATTATGACAAAATTGTCATCTTTGGTAACATTTGGTATCTTTTGGATAGCACCATAGTAAATTTGTCTTTTTTGTAAAATTCTATATTTATAATGATTATGCAGACGTCCTGATATAGATCTATGTAATTGTCTTCTCTGCTATTTCTATGTCATAATTATAACAATAAGTACCATACAGAGTGCATAATAAATCTTTTTGTGATAATTATATTGTTTCTATCAAATAAAGCAGGGTACATATTTTAATATTAATTCTGATGTGTTCGTCAATTTAAAGCATTGTGAGTATTTTTTATGTATTCTATCGTGTCCGTGAAATAAAGCATTTTATACTGCAACAAGTTGTGTTTATTTCCTAAATATAGTAACAAAGCTCTATTTTGTAAAATTTCAATTTCATCATGGAACTCTTTTTTCATAATCAGGGGTTCATTTAGGGATGAAAATAAGTATGAAATTTGTGTTACAATTTAAATAGCTATCAATGTATTCATTTAAGTTGCAGTATAAAAACAACATAATTTAGGTCAATGTCAGAAAATATAAACTTTTTTGTATTCGGCACAAAACTGGGGAAGGGCAACCGAGCCCTTCCTAGTTTCTCAGCCTCATACAAAAAGTTTATATTTTTCTGACATTGACCTAATATTGTATATGTGAATATTTTTCATGTCCGTAAAATAAATCACAATTAAACTTTGCTGTTGATTCTACAATGGCCATCAAATAAAGCATACAATATTTTTTTTTCTGTGGTTTCTATCATGTCTTTTTAGCAGAAAATAGTAAATCTTTTCTATTGATTCTATTCTGTCTATCAAGCATACAGTCGTGTCGATACTATTTACTTATATTTTAGTATTACACAAAGTCATATTTTTCTCATGCACACTGCTTATATCGTCTTTATACTGAATCTTTAGAGTGATAGGTACTGATCGATACCTTAGCATGGGAGAGAAGATTTTATTTATTAGTTGTGATTGTCTTTGAACAGGCTATCAGTTACTGCGAGTACTCTAACATCCGATTCGTTACTTTGTGTATTTTGTTTATTTGTGCTGATGTACCTGACGAGTCAAGCCCTTTCCAACTGATTTTTTACATTTTTTTCTTATGTTGTGCTGCTACACCACTGTACCCGGTTAGGGGAGAGATTGAGCGCTCACAAACATGTTTAACCCCACTACATTCTTCATATGCCTGTCAATGAAGTGGTTTTCATTGGTTGCTGTTGCTTTTCGTTAATCAGGCCAGGTCGTTGGGTTTTGTCGTTTGGATTGTTTAATATTTTTTCATGGTCGGGCCTTCAATAGCTGACGATATATACGGTATGTATTTTGTTCCTTGTAGAAGGCCTATTGTTATTCTAGTGCAATTATTTTGTATCAATGGTTCTGATTGGATGACAGTAAGCGTAAAATTCTCTATCTCCTTGTCTGTAACTAAGGAAGCCGACATTTTGAATTGCGGAATGTATTGACATGCAATTTTTACAATAATAAGCCAAAAAACTCACTTGTTGCACCTAGAAATCTTCTTTTTATCAAATTTTATTACATTCTGAAGCGGTCAAGAAGCCAGAAAACGCCCGGTGTTTACGTTTGACGCCGGAAGCATACCTATGACATCACCTAGTTCAGGGGCCAAAGAAGATAACATCATTTTGCGGAATTTTCTTTAATGAGAATTTTACATTGAGATAATGATTGAAATTGAATTATGTACTTGTTTTGCATTAGAATAGAGATAACTGTATTGTATTTGAAGCTTTGCGGACGTTCGCAAAGCTTCAAGTACAATACAGTTATCTCTTAACTAACATCCACGTCATTTGGACTATAAGATAAGATAGATAAGATAAGATAAGATAAGATATATTTTATTACCAATTAAGGGCCCACAAGGGGCATATAGAGAATACATGTATAAGGAAAAAGAACATTGATTAGCATAGATACATAGAATTTAAATACACAATTACAATACAATTAGACTGTAAAAAAGCCCTTGGTTTATAGTAAATTAATATAATATATTTATATGAGAGATAAATACATCTAACTCATATTGACTTGAATCAATTTTCCAACAGCATTAAGAACCTGATTGTCTTCACAGCTTAATAAATATATGAATTTTTGCTGATTGTCCAGTAAAGAAAAGTTTGGTATTTTATGGCAAACAAAGTCAAAGAGAGCATCTCTATCAGAGTTAAATTTTTCACATGGTGTTAAAAAATGGATTTCATCTTCAACATAGCCAGAGGACCTTTTTTTTGCAAATTCTTTCATTTCGTGGAATATTTGAAAAACGGCCAAATTCAATTTGAAGCTTATGAGCAGATAAACGTAATTTACAAATAGCTCTTCTAAAATCAAAGTTCTTAACCAAAGAGAGATAATTTTCATAGCCAAAATTTAGATTAAATTTCAAATAATTGAACAATTTTCCATCAGAAGTATTTTTAATATATTAAGTGTGAATTAATTTGTTAGATATTTTCAAAAATTTATATTGTCCAAAATGTTTTACTTCTTGTTTAATTTAAAAAACTTCTAATAATTTCTTAACAAATGAAAACCAAGAAGTTATGTTAGATTTGTTAAGCTCTTGGCTGCATTTATAAGCGTCTTTCAACAGACTGAATTCAGTCTGAAGATTTTCAAATCTATATCAGTATTTAACAATTGACTTTACAATATCATAATGTATGGGGAAACGCCCCAGTTCTGATAATACAGCAAAATTTACACTTCATTTGTGTACACCAAGTGTAAATTTTGAGAACTTGAGATGAAGTTTCTTACACTGAAGATTTTTATAAATATTTTCAAGATTAAATAAGGAGGATTGTAATTTATTACAAGAAACATTATAACCTTAAGAGCCTTATTATATAGTTCAGTTTTAGTTAGATGAAAACTTCCAGATGCAGTAAAGTGAACACCTAAGTATTTGTAATGAGAGACACAATCAATCAAGTTATTCTGTAGCAGGAAATCAGCCAGAATTTTTCTTCCGGCCTTATTAAAAATAATAACTTTAGTTTTTCTAATATTAACTTTAAGGTATCAGTCAGCAAAATATTTTTCTAGCTGATTTAGTCTACTTTGGAGACCTGTGGCTGAGGTTGACATAATTACAATATCATATGCATACATCAAACAATTCAATTTCTCTGAGTGAAGGGAAACTGCATCCAGACAGGAGTCAAGATAAGATGGAAAGTCATTTATAAAAATTTTGAATAAAGAAGGACTCAGGTATACCCTTGCCTTACACCTAATTTAATGCTAAATGGGTCAGTGAGACAAGCTCAAATTTTACACATGCTTTATTATTTTTATACATATCTGATATAATATTATAAAACAAAGTACCAACTTTCCTATTAATAAGCTTCAGTTTTAGACCTATATGAATTACACTGTCGAATGTTTTATGAAAGTCTACAAAACAAGTATATTATCTACCCTCTTTACTGTGACAGTATTTGTCTATCAGTATTTTCATTATAAATATATGATCTGAAGTTCTGGCATTTATGTAAAGCCAATCTGAGAATTATGAATCAAATTATTTTGGTACAAAAATTTGTCAAGTCTTGTATTTAAAATATTGTTAAAAAGTTTACCAATGGCGCTAGTAATTGTTATATCTCTATAGTTAGATGGATCACAAGGATCATCAGATTTGAAAATTGGCGAAATATAACCATCAGCCCAAATCGTTGGGTACACACTGTTCTTGAAGCATAAATTAAACAATTTATATAAGCAATTTATCAAATATGACTGACTATGTTTTAACATTTCATTTGATATCAAATCAGGTCCACAGGCCTTGCCTGATTTTAAGCTTGCAATAGCATCAGAGATTTCTTTATTACTAATTTGATTATCTAAATCATTAAAGATTGAAAACTTTTCTTTGTCACTCAGGATGATTTCCAACTGCTTAAGCCGGGAATAAAATGTATTATCAATTGCAGAGTGAAGATTACGAAAGTGATTGGCCCATGTATCTGAGTCAATTTGTGAAGAGCAGTTTTCCTTTTTGCTATCCTGAATGTCATTTATTTATTTCCAATACTGCTTAGGGTTATCAACTCTAAGAGTATCAAGTTTTAGTAGCATGGAATTGATAAATTGCTTATATTTAACTTTTCTACATTTATTATAGACTCTATAGTATTTATAATATCTGCCTTTAATAACAGGATCCTTAGGATATCTTGAATAAATTTTACCTAAGGATATAACATTTTTGCACATTATTAAAAGATCTCTATCAAATAGATATAAGAAGATGTGGTATGAGTGCCAATGAGACAACTCTCCATCCAAGTCAAAATTTATAAAAGTAAACCATTATAGGCCACAGTACGGTCTTCAACATGGAGCCTTGGCTCACACCGAACAGTAAGCTATAAATGGCCCCAAAAATTACTAGTGTAAAACCATTCAAACGGGAAAACCAACGGTCTAATCTATATAAAAAACGAGAAACGAGAAACACTTATGAACCACATCAACAAACGACAACTACTGAACATCAGATTCCTGACTTAGGACAGGTGCAAACAAATGCAGCGGGTTTAAACGTTTTAATGGTACCAAACCTTCACCCTTTTTCTGAAACAATAGTGTTACATTTTTTCATTTGTAATAAGGTAATCAACAGTGCTTTGGCCATGTGTATTAAAACAAGTAAACTGGTCAAGTAAACGATACGAAACTTTATTTAAATTTGGTATAGTTACAAACAACAATATAGAGCTTTCAACTGTGATGGATAGTTCAGTGTCTTCTTGGCAAGTGAATTATATCACACCTCCTTATTTTTGTATATCGAATTGTTGCAGTTATTTTATCGTGTCTATCAAATCAATAACGGAAAGTCCATCGTATCCAACAAATAGAGCATGGTCAATCTTTGAGTTGATCATATTGTTAAAAAGTCATCAAAAATACCAGGCGAATGTCGGTAATTTAGTGTACTAGACACTCATAAGAACTATCAGTGACGCTTCTTGACGTATTATTGGCGTTCGAATCAATACACTCGGAAGACCAAATCATTTGAACGAAGTTGAAGAGCTTTTACAGCCAAACTCTTTCCTGTTGCTTCGAATTCTATTCCGTCTATTAAATAGATTTGTTAGTTCTAAAACCCCGTGTTTTGATTTAACTTTCAGACTCTGTCATGTTTTGTTTTTACATGATATTCATGCATGAACCAATGTATTATGAATATGTTGATGAACCAATGTAGTATGACTATGTTGATGAAACAAAGTAGTATGACTATGTTGATGAACCAATGTAGTATGACTATGTTGATGAACCAATATAGTATGACCGTGTTGATGAACCAATGTATTATGACTATGTTGATGAACCAATGTAGTATGACTATGTTGATGAACCAATGTATTATAATTATGTTGATGAACCAATGTAGTATGACTATGTTGATGAACCAATGTAGTATGACTATGTTGATGAAACAAAGTAGTATGACTATGTTGATGAACCAACGTAGTATGACTATGTTGATGAACCAATGTATTTTGACTTTGTTGATGAACCAATGTATTATGACTATGTCGATGAACCAATGTATTATGACCATGCATGAACCAATGTATTATGACTATGTTGATGAACCAATGTATTATAACTATGTTGATGAACC